GTCCCGGGAAGGTCAACTGGGCATCACAGTTGGCAAAGGACAGGCTGCATCTGGATCCACTTCCGTCTGCTGTACCTTTCTTGGCACATGGAGATGATGTCTACCTGCGTGTGGTGGAGCCTGGCCTGGACACACCCACCTGGACCCACCCTGGCGCCAGGTGGTGAGGCATCCTGCATCTGGCGGCCACTCCTAGGGAGCCCACAAGGGGAGCAGACAGCCACATGGCACCCCACAGCCTCTGTGTTGATCCAGATGAGCGCACTGCCATCTGTCACCTAGTTGGCTCTGAGTCGTAGCAGCTTTGCCAGGAGGTGGGGTGGGGAGAGGGTGAGGATGGGAAGGGTGGGCTTAGGATTCCAGAGCTTTTGCTTACATTCTGCCCACCTCAGAGGGCTGGAAAATAAGGAGCAATAGTGTGCAGAGGAGGGAATTAGTGGAGGGTCACTACCATTTCCATTTTCCCTTGAGCTAAGAGATTCTAAGGGACAGGACAGGGAAGGTGTTAGCCTCCCTGAGAGGGATCAAGCTCTCCTGGGCTCTCGAGCCACACTCCAGGAGGCCATGCCCATCACCCCTCCCTTGCCTCTCACCCAGGAGCTCCTGTGGGTAACAGCAGTCTGTTTCCCAGAGACCCATGCTGAACACACAGATTCCCATGGAAACCAAACCAAATCAAACCAGCTGAATAACTAAAGATCCAGGTGGAAGGAATTAGAAACAACAAAGCCAAGAGGAAAGGCAATCTGGAGCACAGGGAGCTACCCAGCCCATGACCTGGGAACTGTGGGTACTGGACGCAACTCTGCTGTCCTCTCACCAGAGCTCCCTACAGGACTGTGGCTCTGGACATGGACGTGGAGACAGCAATTGCGATGACTCTGGGGAAATGCCTTAGGCGCTCCCTGGGCTGTGGGTCTCCCAGGGCACAAAAGAAGGGCAGAGATGCTTGCCTTATGTGGTGGGTACAAAGATCCAGTGAGAGACACGCGGAGACGCACAGCAGCTTCTGCCTAGGCTTTATACTTGAGAGACTGCGGTCACTGTAGACTCACGATCCTCACGTGCCTAGTGTCAGCCTGACCTACACTTAGAACTACCTCATGGCATGGTTTTGCAAGTCCCTACATATCTTCAAACTGGTCTCTTATCTAAAAGCAGAGATAACACCTGGTGTCCTGGTGAGGGAAGCTCTGAGACAAGGTAACACCCAATCCAATCGCTTCGTAAAGTCTCCCCATCTGAGGTTATGAAAGAAGGGTTATGGCTGGGCTACCTCAAAGGCATCCACCACTTCTGACAGTCTTGGGACTCCATAGTTACAGCCAGGAAAATCAGCTAGAACCCAAGATGCTACCACCTTTCCAACTACTCAATTTGCAAATGCAACTTCTTGACCCTAATGCCAGCATCTTCTCAGCAGGCCCGGATGAAACTGTCCTTCCTGCAGCCACTGCTGCTAGCCCAGCAGCTGCCCAGCCTTGTGCTCCAAGGGCCCCAGAACCTCTCCAGGAAGGGGGCACCTAGGAGCCTGGGAGCAGCTGCTAGGGCCTCATACTGGTATCACTCATTAATTTACCCTAAAACATTTGTGAGGCCCGGACAGACCACCCTAATGTGACGTCAGTGGTGAGAGATGTGGCACGATGCCGTGTGCTCCGGAAGCCATGCTGTCTCCCAAGGCTGGTGGTTCTGCAGGTCAAAGCTGACTTTATGGTGACTCCACTCAAAGGAGCTCTGGGTGATGGGGTGTGTGTGTGTGTGTGCGCTTAGATCCATTAAAAAGGTTTTTTAAAGCTTAAATACTTAGCTACAATAGAAAAGGCAAGAAGAGACTGCTGAGGTGCTTGCAGGTATGCACAGGGAGACAGCTGAAATCCTTAGCCTGATTTCCAGACACTGGGTACAGGACCCTGTGATAGGAAGCAGATGGGGGATGACATGCAATGAGGTGGCTGGGAAGGCAGCCGATCACGTCCCCACCAGTGTGTGCTCCCAGGTTTCATGTAAACCCAGTAAGGCACTGTTAGACCCTGTGCGTGGCCAGATTGGTTAAAACAGCAGCCATTGCAATGCAGAATGGGGGCCTGCGCCTAGGAACTGGCCTCAGGTCTGAGCAAGCCTCGGGGTGAGGTTCAGATGGCGCAGGGACAGCAGGGTCACCTCAAAGCCTTGTTTTCCTCATCTGTAAAGCAGGATAAGGGGGACAGGTCCTAGATGACTGAGCCAGAGAGCAGAGGAAACTGTGGGGACCAGTGTGTCTCATGGGAAGACAACAGCTGACAGGTGGCTGTCACTTCACTGGAGCCTCCAAGAGCATTCTGAGGTCATGGCACACTGGGCTACCCTGTGTGGGGACACCCTGCAGCCCCTCAGACCGACAAGGCTCTGTCATGCTCAGCTCCTGGCCTGAGGTACAGGGACCCACCACAGCCATTTCATCACCCAGTGCGACACATTTTGAAGGCAGTCTTACAGTGAGCTCACGCCCGGCAATGTGGAGAGTTATGGTATTCATGGAGACCCTGTTGACAATCTGGGGTGGCCTTCTTAAATGGGACCCCCAGGTCTGAGAGCCACATCCAAAAGAATAGTTCTGTACAAAAATCTTTTGGCAACAACCTTGACAAAATGTCGCTCGACAGTGAGGTTCAGTTCAGACTGCATGACACACGTAAGGTGGAGTCAATATAGCTCACGGGAGTGACGCATCTCTCTCCTGGGAAAGCTCTGAATCCGGGGCATAGTGGTTCACCTGTGCTGCCTCCTCTGCCTTAGGATGACCAAATCCCTCGAGTCCCTCGTCTCCTAGGTGCATGGCTGGTCCAACTCTCCTTCAGCGCAATGTCACCACACAAGAAGCCGTCTCAGACCACCTAAGACAGAGCCCACCTTGCCTTGCCCCTCACCTGCTTCACAGCAGCCCATACTGTTACTGTCACGCCCCCAGCGTAGGTGGGGCCATCCCATTTCCTTCATTGTTTCTGTTGTCTGTCAGGCTAACTTTGTAGAGAGAGCAAAAGTTTCAAGCACGTGGCCAGGGTACTCAGCTGGCCCTTCCTGTCCAGCCTGAAGCTCCCAGCAGGCTTCTTAACCTCTCTGGGCCACAGGACCTCCATCTGCGCAATGCGGACAGGACTGCTCAGGTGAGCTCGGTGTGGGGTGCACACAGCACAACACCTTACGGAGCTTCAGCACTCAGACTCCTTGAGGTACTTCTGGATATAAGTCCCTGAGAACAACAGTGCTGCTTGTCACCTTGCCACTGTATCCCCAGCACCAAGGACCACACTGGGCAAGGAACAAAGGATTTTTCAATAGAGAAACTGCCCACCCTACAGGACAGAGCTGGCAAAGTACACAGGGGATAAGTCCAGGCCTGGCACATGATGTTCTCAGACCTTGTCCGGCCTCTGCCACCCTCCCCTCCTCTTAGGACCTCCCACTTCGTCAGTATCCTAAGGGTGCGGTTCCCAGCACCTCTGGCCTGCAGAGCCCTCTGTTTGACCTAAACCAGTAGTAGGACCACAGCTCCACTGTCCTCTGCTGTACCAGCCACGGCAGTCCTAGAGCTTCGCAACGGATCGGAAGCGACACAAACTGAGAACTGCAGGAAAAGATATACTATGCTTTCTAGGTTTTCCAGAATCAGTAACCAAGATGTTAAATATCCACAATGACCGCAGGAGCCAACAGCTCTACTCCTACTTAGAGACCTGTCAAGAACTGAAATAAGCCTCAAATAGCTCTGCCTAGACCCGTGTTCAAAGCAGGGTTAGTCACCGCAGCCAGAAGGTGGAAGCCACCCAAGAATCCAGGAAGGAGTGGCTAAGCCAAGTACAGTGTACTCACATAGGGGAATAGGACTCAGCCTTAAAAGTGAAGGCGGCCCCGAAGCATGCTCAACCCAGATGGGCTTGGAGGAGCTGAGGCTCAAGGAAATGGGCCAGAGACAAAGGGACAGCTGTTCCACTCACACGAGGCAGTTACAGCCATCAAACCCACAGGAAAAAGCATGGTGGATCCCAGGGGCTGGGAAAGGAAAGTACAGAGTTGCAGTTTTGCACAATGGAACGTCCTAGAGATGAACACTGGTAGCCATCACATAACAGAGTGAATGTGCTCAATTCTTCCATGCTGATCTCCAACGCGAGAATGCCCATGCGTGCAACCCAGCGTGGGGCTGTAGGGCCTCCCTGGATGGTGTCATCCAATGCTTCTATCCTGCCTACAATTTTCTTTTCCTTCCAAAGATAATGCAAGACCTTGCCTGTGGATGGCTGGGGGAGCAGGCCATGGGGCAGGAGTCTTAGGCAGAGGAGAGTGGTCTGGGCAGTGGTGAGACAGAAGAAGGGAACCACAGCTGAGAGCGGCCTGAAGCCAGAGACATCTGTATGGGAGCAGGCAGAGGTTCAGGCCCACGTGTCTCAGCTGCCTGTGTGCCTGTGGCTCATCGTGTTTGCTTTGCTCCTCCTCTGGGGGTGCAAGTTCTCCTGAAGTGTCAGGGTTTTTTTGTGTCCCCCATCTCCATGTTGCCTAGGGCTCAGCCAGCATCGGGCCTCTGAGTCCAGCCCAGCACCTATGTACCCCAGGCTGCTGTCCTCAGGGCGTGTTCTCGACTGTCCTGCCAACCCCAAGCAGAACGACTATGCTTCAATTCCAGGACAGCAAGCCCTAGGAAGGGAGTCTTCCTACCAAATCACAGGGTCTCTAGCCTGCCTGGTGTCCCATGCTTGCCCCGTGTTCCCCACCAGGCTGTGGGCTCTGCAGGCTGTGGCTGTGCATCTGCCCCGCTCTCCTGGGATGGACTGGCTACACTTCTCTGGCTGGAACTCACACCACCTCCTACCAGGACACAGGCTCAGGGTAGGGCCCAGCTGGGCCTACTTCTTCCCCTTCCCTGGCTCTCACATTTGATCAGGGATCCTGCAATCAAACAGAAGGAAGGAAAGAGAGGAGCAGGACATGGAGCGAGGAGGGAAGCTGTGTCTTCTACTTGCCTGGACATCAAACTCGTGCAGAAGGCCAGTGATGGTCTGTGGAAAAAACCAGACAGGACAGATGGTCAGGTTTCTTAGAGCAATATTTTTGGAACATAGTGGCTGTTCACACCAGGCTGCTGTCTACCTTCCATCTCTGGTGGCCTCTCTTACTGATTGCAAAGAAGCCTTTCTTTTTCCTTTTAAATGAAAGCAGTCCAGCAGAAAAAGAAGACACATTAGGTGGATTCCTTTTTGATGACAGCCTTGGTGAAAAAGATCTGGAGGCCTACAGCGACCACAAGCCTGAGGGATGCAGGAGTGTGATGGACACTCGCTGGTCTCCTAGTCTCTACTCCCACACTACACTTTCACAGCTCAAACCTGACCATGTCGTTGTCTGCCTTCAATTTTTTTTAATGGCCGATATCATCTGGATTCTGGATTAACATCCAATCTTTTATAAGTGTTAAGATGAGAATGGAAATCTCTACGCATTCCTCTTAATCTAAACATTCTGAATTTCAACCCAAATTCCATCTCCTGCTAGACCTTTCAGGGGCAGAAAAAGTACCCAAAAAAAGTTCAAGTCCCCAGTAGGGGTGTGGAAGTGTGGCTCAGAGGAGGCCAGACACCTCACTTGGCCAAGCTTTCCAAGAAACATTGCTGACATTTTCCTGACTCAGAGACAGAAATAGAGATATTCCCTGCAAACTAAGCCCCACTCAACCCTCCCTGACCAGCCTGAGGAAGGACAGTCCAGGTTGAAGACAGACACCCGGCAGAGTTGTAAAGTTCTTCTTTCCTCCCAGACTGTAAAGGAAAAGGTGAATCCACCCTGAGAGGCAGATGAGTGGGCAACCTACAGTCCACAAGCTCTTAAATGTCTGATTCAAAAATAACACATACCGTAGGATGCCTGAAAAACATAATGCTTTTTGGAATGCATGTGCCCTTGGGCTCAGCTGTGCCACTCCCAAGAGCGCCCTCTCCAGGTGCACGCACGCAGCTGCACAGGGACAGGCATTGTTAGTGCAGTGAGGGACAAACATTCTGTGTCATTGCCTGTAGCAGCGGAAGGCGCAGGAGACCCACCATCCACATACTGCACATTGGCCAAAAAATTGGTGGAATACTATGCAGCTGGAAATGGAAACCCAAATCTGTGGGCTGCCGTTAGAAAGATCTCTGAGACACACTTAAGTGGATAAAGCAGGGTGTGCAATGCTGCTGTATGGTTTATAAAAAGGGGTGTTACAAATATGTTGATATGTAGCTGTACCTCCTGTGGGTTTTTGTTAGCTTACTTTTTAAGACTGTTATAGGCCGAGAACAAAGATTTAGGAGGTGATTTAGAGCTTACACAGTATATAGTTGGGAGATGATAGTTCACCACCTGTTTTTGTAAATAAAGTTTTACTGGGACACTGAAAGTCATCCACTTATGAAATGTCCATGGTCGCTGGCAGGCTGTAACGGCAAAGCTGAGCACAGTCACCCCCTCAGCATCTGAGTGAAGGGATCTGGGTCCTCCACAGCTGCTCAAGTCCCTTATATAAAGTGGAGCAGGATTTGCGCACAGCCTGCACATGGCTCCTGCATACCTGATATCATCTCTCGGTCCCTAGACTGCGTTGCCCAGGGAACACCAGCTTCTGGATATGTGCAGACACAGTGTGTTTGCCAGTGTCTTGGATCCATGGCTGATTGGATCTTCAATGTAGAAACAGTGGACACAGAGGGCTGAATGGAGTGGTCATAGGGCCTAGGAGGGTCCCATCCGGCCCCCTCGGAAGGGGTCCATGGACCCTAGGCACACAGTGATCCTGAGCTTTCTGCTGCTTCCCCAGGCAGGCCTTATCATCCTACCTGTGTCAAGCTCTAGAATGAACCTGAGCAATTTCCCCCCTATCTGAGGCCAATGCGTTTATCTGCAAGGTGGGGAATGAAATCGACAGTCTGTTGTGCATAGGGAGCAGGCCTGGGTGTGAGTCCATGCCCCATATTTTGCAGCTGTATGGCTGAGGATAAACTGAACTCCCTGAGACTCCACCCCCTCCTCTGTGCAGTGAGGACAACACAGAAGCTAGAGCAGCCACCAGCCACACTGGAAGTACGACTGGGCGAGGGTTGAGCACCTAGGATACGGTCGACACATATTAGTGATTATTCTACAAAGCATTGGCTTGACTTTAGAGTGACGTCTTTTTTAAGCCTAAGCTTCCAGTTTCAAAGAGTTATCAGCACAGGCAGTTATGAGTCTCTGAGGAACATGAGCACACGATAAAAGAAAAAACCAGCACCAGCTGTGCAGACAGCAAGCCTCGACCGCCATTGGCACAACCAGCTGTTGGGCTGGAGCACAGGGTGCTTGCTCCCAGCAGCAGGGTTGCTGATCTCAGAAAAGGATCCACCAGGGAGCGCTGAGGAGACACCACAACTGCTACTGAGTCTGCTCATCTCCTCTACAGTGGGTGGCTCTGATTGCTTTATGAATCAGTGCCCTCCCTCCGTGTGAGCCCAGCCCCCTGCAGGACCACCCGCCCCCAGTGTCTCTTTACTGAGGAAGACTAAAGCACGGAGGACAGAGGTGCACGCCATGGATACAGCTGCAAAGCACTGGAGCCAGGATTTGACCCAAGTGGTCTGGTCCCACAGTAGGTAGCTTTACCCACTAAGCTACAGGGTAGGTGGATCCCACGGGTACTGGGATTCATGTTGCATGTTCTGGAACTATGGGGTATCAGACATGCTCAGAGAAGCCCGGCCTCATGTGCTTACTACCAGGGAGAGCGGTGAGGCACAGGTGGGCAACAGCTTGGCTCACTGTGTTGTAGCACATACTGGCCATGGTGGGTTCTGAAGTCCTGCCTCTTACTCCTGAGCACTCAAAGAAGCAGTGCAGATACGTGTGTGCATGGTATGCGCACGCTTTGTACGATGCGTATGTGTGGTGTGCGTGTTCATAGGTGTGCAATGCTAGCTACACACACACATGCATGTGTCCAGCTGTGCGTGGGTGTGCAGCCATGGGAGGAGCCAGGAGCATCTCTACTCACCTCTCCTTTCTCCACCAGAGGCTTCACCTCAGCAAGGTCCACGTCCTGAAGCTCCCGTGACATGTCCCTGCTGTCACCTGCCTGCAAGGGGAAAAAAACAGAGGTCAACACTTTGTGCTAAGACAAGTTTCCTGGAGGAAGTAGATCGTAGGCCAGGGCACAGCATGATGGGCAACAAGACTAGGCCACCCCTGCGTCCAAGGCTCCTCCCTCCAGCACACACAGCACAGCACGAGCGGGTCCCCTGTCCCCACAGATTTATCTTAGTCTTCCTCTTGGAGTTGGCAGTCACTTTTCTTGGACAGGACATGAGTCTCTCAGATACAACTTCCCTTCCCACAAAGCAGATGGATGGAAGGCAAAACCAGGTCCAGCGTAACTCCAGGCCCACCCACCGTCCCCAGATTGCTTCTCACTGCATCTCAGAAGCACACCCACATTCCTGATCCCCAAATCAGGCACACTGGCAATGAAAGGGAACCAGAGGTCACTGCCTGCATGCCCAGACGTGGTATGAGCCTCACCTTGTGTACATGTAAGCATGCGCACACACACGTGCAGACACACACACACACACACACACACACACACACAACCTTCCTCTCTGAAGGACCTCAGGCTGCCTGCTGAGAAGGGCAAGGGACAGGGAACAGGACAAATCCTTAAGCCAAAGGTTTGACAGAGGCTGAGCACTGGGTAGAAGTGGTCCTAAGCCAAAGCAGGGCTTGGAGCAGGCAGGGCTAGGCAGGAGGGCCCCTCTTGCCTCCCAGGCTCCACGTGAGCAGGTGCACAGGGGCTGGAAATGGAGCTGCAAGGAGTGCAGACAGAGTTGGGCGTGGGCTTGCAACACAGCCTCCTCCTCCTGGGTGGTGAGGCCTCGGTAGGGCTGTGAACTCTACTGAGCACGCCTCCCCAAAGTCTAATCTCTGAGCTGGAGAGATAAACTCTCATTTCCATGGATCAACAGTCAAGCAGGAAAAAGTAAACGCTCTCCAATAGCAAGGGCGAGGCCCAGGGATCCCAGGAGAAGGGGGATTATTACAGAAGGAAAGTGGGGAGACGGGTGAATTACGGCAGTGGGGGGGTGCCCCGGCCCCTGCCTTGTTCACAGATCCCAGCCCCTGGGGTGCAAACCCCCTGAGGAACAGCTGGCCAAGGCCATCACACAGCTGCTTCCAGAGCACAGCCTGATTCCCACTGCCCAAGGCCCTTGGGACGCCATGGCAAAGAGAGTGAAAATCCCTGAAGCCGCAGCCTAGACTCCTCTCGAGACTCAGCTCCCGAGCCCCAGGAGCCCCACTCCTCTCCCACCCGGAGCCACACCCTGTGCAACTCTGGCATCCCGTGGGCGGGTCCGTCTCACCCCTGGACACTCTGGTCGGGGCCTCCTCCTGGTTTTCCTCCACTAGATAACCACCCCACAAGAATGCCTTTATGCGGCCTTTGCAGTCTACACTCCCGAACATTCTGAAAACAAAGTGGGTTTTATGTCTGGGAGCATTCCTGGGCCACTGCCCGCTCGGAGGCAGGAGGCATGAAAAGCCAGGGTCTATGTGCCCTGCTAATTCAGCATGTTCACGGTCCCGAGACCCTGGCCGTGGGACACTGCACCCACATGGCCTCGAGAGCTTTCCAGAAGCCAGGGCCTGGCAGCACCCTGTTCACTCGGAGAGTGAAAGGGCTCCGTGGTTCACCTTGGCTTCTGAACCAGCAGCTGGGATCTCCCAGGACCCTGAGGTTGGGTCAGGCCAACTTCCTCAGCTCCCTGGTGAGCTCCAGAATGCAGGCAGCTCACCCGTCTGTCCCCTCCCTTCCCTCCTGTCCTTGGCACACCCTAGAGGCAGAGCCCAGCACAGCTCCCTCGACGGTGAGGCAATCGATGCATTTATTTAAATTCCCTCTTAAAATCACTAACCACAAGAACACACCCCCGTGGAACCCCCCAATCATACAAGGACCCCACAATGCTGCAGTTCAGCCCCATCTTTTCAGTTCTCCTTGGCTTCCTGAAACTGCGATCACATTGGAATGTGATGTCAGCCTCCGCCATCTCCGTGCCCAGAACAGGAGACCAGTCTCAGCCTCTGGTTCCCTGAATGCCCCTGGTGGAACCTCTTTGCCTCACAGTACTTCCCCTTCCTGCTGCCGGCTCACACTTGGTATTGAGCATCGCCCTCAGCATCCTGCACCTGCCCCTGGGAGCAAGTTGTGAGGATAGAAAATGCCCACAGACAATGGCACAGATGCCCTGGGTACAAAACCTACCCTGGCTGGGAAGGGAAGTTCTTAGTGGCTCCTGGGATAAAACAGGTATCCAGAAAGGGTTCTTCAGGCACCACCTTGTTTATCTAATCCACATACATACCCACTCTCTCACACACACACAGTCTCACTGTCACCCACAGCCTCACTGACCTCCACCCCATCACCAGCTCCTCACAGAGGATCGGGCTGCCCCACAGTCTGACAACTTTCCCTAGGGCATGGCCAGCTATAGGAACTTTGGTGGCACCAAGTCACCACCTCACCACACTGCTTCCTGTTCTTCCTACCCAGACACCAGACAGGGCACTGAAAGACTCAGATCCAACAGAGACACCCCTGTGCCGGGCTTACTCTTCTCCCCTGATCTGGGGGCTCTGAATCCCCGATACCCAGTCCCTGCAGCAGAGGCAATGCCCAGCTGCCTGTGCCCCAGGTAACTGGAGGCCACGCCTCTTCCAGTGTCAGCCTTGTGCTGACCCTAGGCCCTGCCCCTCTAACATCTCCTAAGGAGGCCTAGTCATTGAATGAGAGAACCAGAACTGGCCGAAGCCAAGAAGCCAAGGTGACAGGGAAGGACCCTTCATAGCCACAGGGTGGTAGGAACTTTGATCTGTGTCTCCAAGAGGTTTTCATGCCCAAGAAGTAGCAAGGAGCCACCCAGGCAGGGAATTAGGTTGGACCAGGTCTTCCCTTGCTAATGCCCAGTCTAAAACCAGGCTGCCAGGGCACAGTACCAGCTCCTAGCTGCTGGCTCACTTCCTTTCCTATCCACCTGCTCGAGGCATCCAGCAAGCCCACCTGGAAGGCAGGAAAGGTCACCTGGGGTCAGAGGAGGGACTGCAGGCAGACTTGAGCATTACCACTCACCAGCACTGTCATCCTGAATAACTCACCTAACCCCCCACCTCTGTTTACTTGCCTGAAAAATGGGCAACATAACTTCTACTCAGAGCAAGCAGCACGAGCGCTCACATTAAATAATGGAAAATCGAATCTGGCAAAGAGCTGCCTGATTCACCAGTGTACTTTCCTCCCCTGGTTGCCTGGGAGACCGTGGGACTTCTGTGAGGATAGTCTGTGATTTACACTGCGAGTCTGAGATGGACCCACAAAAAGATAACCAGCAAGTGCCACAGGGATCCACAGGCTTCGGATCCAGTGTGCCACTGAGTGTCCTCTTCACTGCCAACACTGGTTGATGAGTAATGAGACCCAAGAGGGATGGGCACATACTGCTCCCTGTCCTTAGATCCAGGAGATTACGATTTACAGAACTCATAGGTGCCTGCACAGCCAAGAGCAAGATCAGGTAGGACAAGGGAAGAACAAGACCCTGGGAGGTTGGAGGAGCAGCAAGCAGAGCCTCTCAGGCAACATGAGGCCACCTGAGGACTGTGGACCAGTCACAGGGGCTGAGGGGACACAGCCTGTGTGAGGCTTGAGGGGGTGGCAGGAGCACGGGCCGAGGAGTCCAGGGTACGGGGACGGCAACACCTACACCTTCCTGCCCGTGGGTCTGAGCAAGCCATTCCCTCTCCCGCGCTCCTGGCCTTGGTGTTCCACGTGTAAGGCACACACAGCTCTGGCCAATGGACCCTCGTATAACAAGCTCAGGGCAGGAGGGAGCTGTGCGGAGGCCAGAGCACTTGATTCCGCACCCTCTGTCTCCAGGCCTCGGAATTTTCTCAAGACTGGGAGTCTGTGTGCAGTTCTGTCTTAAGCCACTTCATAGGATCCACTTGCCCACCTCTTTTTTTTTTTTAATTTAAAAAAAATATCTTTTATTTATTTGGTACAGGATCTCACTATGCAGCTCAGAGTCATAGGGATCCTCCCGTCTCCATAGGGTCCCCAGTGCTGGAATTACAGGCATGGGCCATCATGCCTGGTTTGGGGGTTCAGCACACGCGGGGTTCTGGGACTGTCTCAGCGTGTGGTATTGGGAATTGAACCCAGGTCCTTAAGCTTGCCAGGCAGATTTTTAGACCATTGAGCTGCCTCCCCAGCCCTGCCCACTCTCTTGACTGAACTCTGCTGGGGCCCCTGGAACTCCAGGACACAAGACTCCAGGCATCCAGCAGACACATCTGTGATCTGCTTTGGGAGCTCAGCACCCAAGAGCCCAGGAAGAGCATCATCAGGGGGCAGCACAGTGCCCTGTGGAGAGCCACCAAGCAATGCCAGGGGCCACCTCTCCAGCTCCACTCCACTCTCAGTTCTGCTGTCTGTAATGCTCAAGACAACCCTCGAGGAAGGCACCAGCTCTTCTCCATTTAACAGACTGCAAACAGACACATGGAGGTTAAGGTAAGTGACCTGAGGCAGAATCCCAGTCACCGAAAGCATAACAGGAAAAGGTGATGGCTAATGCACCCGCCCAGACCTCCGCTTCCCTTTATCCAGATAGTGTTCCGAGGATGGCCACCCGCGACCATGAGGCTTTGTGACAGAGAAGGTCAGTCAGTCGTCAGGGACAGTCACAGATTTCTCCCTCGGTCCTACACAGTCACCCTGGAGCTACCAGGAGTCGCCCCAGCTTTGGGCAAAATCCATTGTCTTAAATGTTTTTGTTTTCCTTTCACCGTCCCTGAAGGGTTTCTGTTTCCAGGTCTCTTTCCTGCTTTGGCAAAGGCCGCATTCCTGAAGTGTTCACTCACTGAATCGATCCATTTGCTTCCCTGAGGCGTCCCTGGGGGCAGGTGGGTGTGACCATGCCACTTCACAGGCGGGCACCCACAGGCTGCAAATCAAAGGTCCTGCCCACCAAGGGATGTCACACTGCTGCTTTGTGGTGTGCACAGGTGGCAAGCGCTAGG